GTGACAGATTTAAATTGATGTTAATTTGTTGAATACCTCGGTCGTGGTCTCTGCATTATGTATTTCATCGATTAATTCAGTTAGGATCAAATCTTCCCCGGGAAAACATTCTTTTAGGTCTAATACCACCTCGTCGCCGGAAAAATTGTTCGTCCAAACATTCTCTATATCTTCTTTAATACTTTCGTAGCTATTAAAGCCTAAACATGGACTATCCTGCGTAAAATGACACACAAGAAACACATCGAATCTACATAAGAAACACAAATGTACGTAAGTCATAATAATAAAAACCATCTTTAATTACTAATTATAAGTACATACCTTAGGAATGCCCAAATAATCAGGCTGAAGCATAGGCACTTGATGATCACTATAATTCTTTGTATAATTGTCAAAATTTTGAATGATTCCAGAAAATGATGATGAGTCCCCATTATTGAGAGGCAATGAAACAAATGGAAATCCCCAATTGAGATCAATGAAGGAAGTTGAGGAAAAAGAATCTAGATCAAGATCTGGTGGAGGAGAATAACTATCACCCGAATTTTTATTAGAACCGTTATAAAAAACAAAACGCGAGATTACATTAGCGTTTGAAACGCATGTTTGGCATAGGCACAATCCTTTATCAAGACATTGTACAGCCGCCGTATGCGAAACGCAAATGTTGCACAACAGAAACCGCAGGTGATCGTGATCGGGATTGTCATCAGTCACGGAGTGTAACAACCGGTCACATTGTAGACAAACCCTAGCCAAATGTGTCTTACAATAAACAGTGGCTCTTTCTATAGTGCAATGATCGCACATTGGTGACACCATTATCTGCATTTCTTGAAGAAACAAAAAGCATACGAACAACTATTTATTCATTTGATTTGAGATTTTAGATTTTCAGATGAAAAAGGAACACGTTATAGGCTTTTTCTTTCTCTAGCATATTGTGTTTCTTTAATTTATAGTTAACGTGCTTCAGTGATCGTACTAACACGTGGTAAATGTGGATGATGTGGAACAAGCCATTTAAATCGGGATATTCAGTTTGCCTGTGAGGGTTTTTGGGTGGCAGATAAGGTAATTAAGTGAGAACTGATGGCTCTTTCTGGACGGAATACAAGGGAGACAGGTAACGAAAAAAACGAATCTATCAACGACAAATTCGATTTTCAAGTTTAATTAGAATATGATTTGTTATAAGAATCTTAACATTTGAAGTCTAAATTTAATTTCACAATTATAATGTTCTTCCTTCAATCTCATCTTTATCCATTACTGACGTGTATATTTTATAAAATAGTAAAATATATTTAACGTTTCTTTATATCGTTAGAAAATATCAAACAACAATTAATATTTATCCCGAACCGAATTACGATTGAAAAATAAAACCATACATTGATATATTTTAAGTGGGTTCATTATTGGTTCATATTTAGAAAAACGAATCTAGAGTTGAACATAACCGAAAATAAGATAAGTTTGATTAAAAGTTTGAATATGAACCCAAACCAAATATCAACCCATCCATATTACATTTTATTCGACTGTGACTGTCAAATATTTGCAGAATTCGAACAGTTCTTTTCGCTATTTGCTATATATATATAGATACATGAACTGAAATAAAATAAGAAAAGGACAAAGATATACAAACGCCAACGGAATTTGCCAAAGTCTATTATATAAAGCTACAAGTTTTTTTTGGCAATGACAGTAGATACGTAAAAAAGGATAGAGACAAACATATGAAGGAAACACACTTTGCCTCCAAAAGAGAGAACGTGTTTGTTTGTGAATCCACAATTTGATCTTGAGGCTCTGTTCGACCATATCCCCATTAGAAGAGCTCCTGCTCCAATGATTCCTATGATCCTGTTCTCAACCAACACTTTTATAAGTCTTTAAAATATTCTTTTGATCATTTAAATTTAGTCAGAGTATCTTGTGGTACTTCTCTATATAAAAATGAGGTAAGAAGTTACATGGAATTTTTTCAAACTTTTTCATGACAAATATTTTTGAGTTTTAGGAGTAGTAAAATCAATTACCAAGTGACACAACAGCAGGCTAAATTGATGTATCCAGTGATCGTAGACTTAAATAGTTCGGAACTGAATCCGATCAGATTGGCAATGATATGAGATGCAACCAAACATGACAATGCTATTATCCCTAACACGAAAGCTGTTTGGCTTGGAGCTTTACACTCAAGCAGCCCCACCCTCTCATGCTCCACCTGCCACATGCACAAAACAAAAGTTAGAACCA